TGTGTTCTTGGTTTCCATATCTCTAAGCTTTGAGTGGGCGCCCTGCGCCAGTGTGAATCTCCATCTGTTTGCATGTATGTGAAGTGGAAGTGGAACCGAGTCTGATTGCATTGGTATCGGAGCTGGTTCCCGTTACCCCATGTGCCATAGTCGTTGCTAGTAGGGAAGGAGTCGCGCGCCAGTCAGGCGCCATAGCCGAGGTGCACCATCGGAGAAGGAAGTCCGCCATAGCTGCGCTGCGGAAGAAGGTGTAGTGTACCTGAACAGAAGGCAACGAAAAAGAGAAGAGAAAGGAAGAAGAAAGGGGCTAGATAGAAGAAAGGCAAAGAAGGTGAAGAGAAGGGAAGTTGGCGAGGACGAAAGTGCCGGCAGCCATAGCCGACTTGAGGGTTGACCTCGGTGTTGACCAAGAGTTGACCGGGTGTTGACCAGAGGTTGATCGGAGCGTTGACCAAGGTTTGACCACGTTGATCAAGCGTTGACCAAGATCGTTGACCACGACTTTGACCAAGCTGGAGCCGGTATAATCTCGCCAAGCCTTCAAGCCTATCCCCTCGCCCTATGGATGTGCACACACCCTGTGGTACTTGCTGAGTTTGAGTCTATCTGTCTCTTCTTTCTACATTGAGTCTCTTCTGTCCAGGTGAAAGGATTCCGTGTATGAAGGATAGGGCCTCGTTGACCAAACCCACACGGGCTGAGTAGGGCTAAAGGCTGTGTCTGACAACTCAACTGTCCCGGAGGACACAAACCCTCCCAAGGACCGGTACTGACCGGCAGGCTGCTCGATGTGGCACGGTAGGCCCACAATCCGAGCTGTGGGCTACACAACGGGCCGTCTAAGTCTTGAGAGAACCTGCTGATCGCGTCGTCTTGTCTGCGACGTTAAAGAATTCCTGAGGAGTTACGGGGGATCTCCTTAAATGCCTCCTGATCAGCAATAGGTTCTGTAGTGACGGCTGTAGTTTAAAGTCTAGGCTAGAGACCATAATTGGTAGGGTTCTATACGGAGCCTATGGTACTTAGATAGAGTCGGTCTTAAGTTGAGCTAGATAGGGGGAGAGTCTAAGTGGTGAGGAGTGAAACCATTACTTCGTTGTGCGTCTATCACCATGGTTGACACGCGTACCGGAACGAGCACCTCCCCTTCCACAGCAGAGCAAGATGCGAAAGTCGCCGCCATCCTGAAGGAGAGAAGGGAGAAAAAGGAGGTCAAAAAGAAGGCCTTGCTTGAGGAACAGGCGACGAGGAAGAAGAAGGTTGAGGAAGAGATGACAAAGGAACTGGAGAGGTTGAAAAAGGAGGAGGAAGAAAAACTTAAAGCGGTAGAGGCAAAAGAAGAGGTAGTAGAACAGCCGCTGGAGAGGAGAAGGACAAGAGGAAGAGGATAACCCAGTGGTGTGAGGGAAGACCCGTTGGAGAAGAAGATTTCGGAATGGGTGGCCAATTTTTCCCTAGGAGAAGAGGAGGCGACATTAATGTATGTAACCAGGGAAGAGCAGGAGGCGACTATGAAAAAGTGGGATGCAAAGGAAGACCCACTCAAGCAGCAGACCATAGAGGATAAAAAAAGGATGGAGTGGAAGTTGCGACTGATGAGGGAAAGGAAAAAGAGAGTGAACGCAGTGAGCCAGGTGACAAGGGAATTGGAAGAAGTAAAGAAATAGGGAGAGCAGATGGCGGTGCAGGCGGACCTGTTGGGGAAGATGCAGATCATGGCGAGGAACATAGAGCGCCTGGCCCAGGTCCAGGAAGAGCAATATCAGTTTGGTAGGAGTCAGGACATAGCCCTGCGATCCGTACGGCTGGGATTTAGAGACTTCGCACGTGAGTTAGTAATGCAGGTGGGCTCAGAGGTGAAGGCCCGCCTAAAGAACACAGAGCGTTATTGCGCGGGCGCCAGAGAGGGCGCCAGGCTGGCTGCACCCAAGGAAGAAGAAGCACGTCCTCGTAGGGAGCCTGTTAAAGTGAAGTTCCCCGACTCCTATAGTGGAAAGAAGGAGGAGAACTTCAACAATTGGGAAGCCAATATTAAAACCTATGTGCACTTGCAGAAAATCGCCCCAGACGAACACGTCCTGATAGCTACTCACGCTCTTAGGGAGGAAGCAGCAAGCTTCGCCCGTTCCCTGTGTCGCGCCGCCAATTGCAATGATGACTTAGTTGCGTATTCAACGGTTACCCCTCTCAGCGATTTCCTTAAGTTATTGAGAGAACGGTTTGTAGACGTTACCCGTAGTGTCAAAGCCTCATATAAGCTGCAAACCATCCATTATCACCAATGGAAGAGTGTCAGGGCACTCAAAGGTATGATGGACGAGTTAGTCGCCGTTCCTGACCATGGGGTCACCAAGACCCAATTGGTCAAGCTCTTCTATTGTGCCATGCCCGAATAGCTATGCAAGCATTTCTTTGAAAAAAGTTGGCAGCCTACCATGACCTATGAAGCTTTGAGCAGGGAAGTGGTAGTGTTCGAAGCGCGGTCCATGTCAGTCTCCACTTTCTGGCACAAGGACATGGATAAGGGCAAAAAGTGGAAAGGTTGTACCATCTCGGTTCAGGTCAAGACAAAGGATCGCCTGATCCTTACACTAGACGAAGGTGGTATGAATGAAGTCCGCTACGACCAGATAGAGTGGGGACTAGAAGAGGAAGGAGATAGTAGCGCTAGCCAGGGGGGGACTTATGCTGCTGTCGCAGCCGGAGGGAGGCCGCAAGGAGAAGGTAGAGGCCAGGGCCAAGGGGGGCGGGCCTCAGGTGGTCGTTTCCATGGCGATCAGGGGGTTGGTGGTAGTGGGAACGGCCAAGCGGGAGGCAGGGGTCAAGGTCCCTCGCAAAACCGTTCTGGAAATAGGTCACCGAATAGGGGGAATAGGTTACCCTATAGGAGAAGTGGTTGGCACCCAGGTCTGCCACAGGGCCGACCTTGGGAAGATTTGGGCCTGGTCCAGCGCGTTTGGCAACAGCGTGTGGACCAGGGGCAGTGCATATATTGCGGTGACCCTGGTCACATCATCAAATATTGTCCAAAGTATAGAGAGGCCCGATCGGCTGCCCAAGGGTCAAAAGGCAGCCGCCGGTAGGGGTTGCAACTGCCCCTACCATAAGGCCATGTGGGGAAATGAGCGCGAGCCGGAAGGAAACTCCCACACCACATGCGCCTATGGCAGAGGTTGTAGGCCGGTGCCTAGATAGTTGTCCAGAGACTGCATGTGTTAGAGTCTCTTTAGGCACCTCCCTCACAGGCATGGCCGACGAGCTAAAGGAAAGAATGCCCGCCTAGGCCAAGATGAAGAAAAAGAGTAGAGGACAACTAGTACTAGTAGACGTAGAAGTCTTTAGGAGCAGAGTAAGGGCCCTCGTAGATAGTGGGGCCACCCACAACTATATTAGTAGAAAGGCGCTCCAAAAGTTAAAGTTGGGATTGAAAGTCCAAAAGTTAGCAGTTCCCATAGTAAGTATCCTCGCAGATAATCGCACGATGCGAGTAGAGGATTACGTAGAGGAGTCCAGACGTACTTCCGCCTAGAGAAAAATGGGAAGGTGGAGAGAGTTCTCCATTCCCTGACTCTCCTCGTAGAGGACAACCTCCCATTTGACATAGTCCTAGGAATGGACTGGGGAGAGGCAGCAAGAGCCACACTTCTTCTGAGAGAGCATGAGTGTAGGCTCCCTAGTCCATCAGGCAAGGTGAAGACTGCTCGTCTGTTTCATGTGTCAGGAGTAGACAACTCCTTAGCACATTGTTGTCTCAGCACTCCTGCATTTGCGAGACTAGTGAAGAAGGAGCAGCTAGAAGAACAAGTTTTTGTAGCTTACGTTAGACCAGTTACTGAGCCTAAAGAGGAAAAACCCATAGATCCCGCTATTGCCAAGCTGCTGGAAGAGTACACAGATTTAGCTAGACAGCCAACAAGGGTAGTCTTGCGGCCCATCCAGCATCGCATTGAGATAGAGCCTGGCAGTAGGACTCCTAAAGGAGCAGTGTATCGGATGTCCCCGTGCGAGTTGAAGGAGTTGCGCAAGCAGTTAGATGAACTCTTAGAGAAGGGTTGGATTAGACCCAGTTCGTCTCCATTTGGAGCACCTGTTCTATTTGTCCCCAAGAAGGAGGGAGAGCTTAGAATGTGCATTGACTATAGGGGTCTTAATGTTATTACAATGAAGAATGTGGAGCCACTGCCCCGTATAGATGATCTTTTAGATCGGGTGCAGTTTTGCAAGTACTTCTCGAAGATAGATTTGAAGTCCGGATTTCATCAAATAGAGGTTCACCCTGATGAGCAGTATAAGACTGCATTCCGGACTAGGTATGGGCACTACGAGTTCATAGTTATGCCCTTTGGACTAACCAACGCGCCAACAACTTTTCAGCGTTGTATGAATGACTTATTTAGGTCGTGGTTAGATAGGTTTGTAGTAGTCTACTTTGATGATATTCTAGTGTTCAGTAGGACCCTCCAGGAGCATGAGGGTCAGCTGAGGCAGGTCTTGGAGAAGCTGAGAGAGGCTAACTTCAAGATCAACGCAAAGAAGTGTGAATGGGCAAAGACCCAAGTTTTGTATCTAGGCCATGTCTTAGATGGATACGGCATTAAACCAGAAGATAGCAAGATCGTAGCGATTAGAGATTGGCCTACACCCCGCACGTTGACAGAGTTGTGGTCGTTCTTAGGCCTAACTAACTATTACAGGAAGTTTGTGAGAAACTTCTCCACCATCGCTGCACCCCTTCGCAGGTTACTGAAGAAAGAAACAATCTGGAAGTGGAACAAGGACTGCACGTCTGCCATGAAGAAATTGAAGCAGGCATTAATAGAGTACCCAGTCCTTAAGGTAGTCGATCCGTCCTTACCTTTCGTCGTCATCACTGACGCGAGCCAGTATGGTATATGTGTTGTATTACAGCAAGACGATGGCAGTGGCTATAGACCCGTAGAGTTCATGTCTGCTAGGATGCCTTCGGAGAAGGTAGCGACATCCACCTACGAAAGGGAACTCTATGCTTTCAGGCAAGCATTAGAACACTGAAAGCACTACTTGCTTGGGAGACACTTTAAAGTCTATTCAGACCACGAGACGTTACGGTGGCTGAAGACTCAGGCCAAGATGACACCTAAGCTTACTAGGTGGGCCGCAGAGTTAGACCAATATGATTTTGAGCTCAAGCCTATAAAAGGAAAGTATAATGTAGTTGCGGACGCTCTGAGTAGGAGAGCTGACTACTTTGGAGCAATAGTTCACTATTTGGATATAGGGAGAGACCTGCAACAGAAAGTTAGAGAGGCGTATGCGCAGCAGCGCAGGACCCTATCTATAGTGACCTCCTCAAGACAGTAAAGGAGGCCCCTGAGTCCGAACCAGAATACCGCACTACTGATGGACTGCTATTTGAGAAGACTAACGTAGTTGACCGATTGTGCGTTCCTAACAGTGAGGAGATTCGTAGTCTGATCCTAGGGGAATGCCACGATACTGAGGGACATTTTGGTTGGCAAAAGACTCTAGCTAACCTCATGGGCGCGTACATATGGCCTGGGATGAAGGCCGACTTCATAGAGTATGTTCACAGTTGTAAGGTCTGCCAAAGAAACAAGACCTCTACGCGTGCCGCTCTAGGTCTTCTCACACCCTTGCCTATTCCTGACCAGCCGGGAGACTCCGTGACTTTATGGACACCCATGTCAAGAGTAGGCACGGCAAGAACCAAGTAATGGTTATAGTCGATAGATTTAGCAAGTATGCAGTTTTTGTTCCTCTGCCTGCGAAGGCACACACAAATTTAGTAATCCAGAAGTTCTTTGATCATTGGGTCAGTGAACATGGGATTCCGCTGTCTATAGTTAGTGATAGAGACACTCGTTTCACTAGTCAGAACTGGCAGGATTTGATGAGAGTTTATGGGTCTAAGTTGTTAGTGTCATCTGGCCGTCATCCAGAGACTAACAGTCAGACTGAACAAATGAATAAGATCCTGCAACAAGTTATGTGTATGTACATTGTACCAGATCAAGTCAATTGGGATGAGATGCTCCCGAAGGTAGTCAGTGCATATAACAATAGCGTGCATCTAGCCACTTGTCGCACTCCCAACAAGTTGCATAAGTCTTTCAAACCACGAAGACCATTTTAAGGACTTAACCGGGATCAGATTTAGAGGCTACCGCCCGAAACTAGGGAGTTTGCACTTCAGCACAAGAAAGAATTAGCTACCGTTGTAGAGAACCTCAGGAAGGCCCAACATAGAATGATAGAGCAAGCCAACAAGCACCGTCGCCCGTCGCAGTTTCAAGTAGGCGAGTTAGTCTGGGTCAAGTCTAAAGAATTTGCTCCTGAGGAGAACATTTCACAGAAGCTATTGCCGGCGTAGAGGGGACTGTTGCCAATCCTAGAAGTCAAGGGCGGAGAGGATGGACCGTCCTATACAATAGAGATCCCAGCACACCTCCACACCTACCCTGTGTTTCACACATCAAAGTTGTTGCCTTGTGTCACGAGCCAACAGTTTCCATCAAGAAGATCCATGACCCCCCCGGACATGGATGGAAGATATGACATTGAGGGCATTGTAGGTGAAGATGTCTTCAGAACAGGAGGTAGAGGTCGTCCTCAGAAACAGTACAAGGTTCGATTTGCGTATCAAGAACCGAAAGACGACCGCTGGTACACACGAACAGAACTTCTAGAGTCCGCTCCCGATATAGTTCGCGCCTATGAGAGAGACAAGAAAGGTAAAGGTCCTGCCTTGGACTGAAATATTCTCGGAGGACCTCGAATTTAGGCCGGCGGGAGTGAAACGGATTCCACCTTTCGCAGTAGCCGAGGCAGATCCCAGGGCTCGACCCCTGGTCCTCACTTCACCTGTGTACAGTATCTGAGTCGACCCTGAGAGTTGAACCCGTGACTTGTGTATTCGCAGTAGTTGGTAGGCTGTCGTAGGTCCGTAGGTTGTAAGAGTTCGATCTGTAGACCTGTCGTTGTAGGTCTTAGCAGGCCCTAGGAATCGTAGCTGTAGCCCCTCCGAAGGGTCAAAGTCATAGCTGCTGTAGTCCTGAAAGGTCAAGGTCGTAGCTGCTACGGTACCGAAAGGCCAAGTCTACGGACTTCCGGAAGGTCCGGAAGTGGCCTTTCTGAGCCTGCCCACGTTTAGACAGAGGCAAGTGGGCACGTGGCGAGGCCAGCTGCAGTACGTCGACAGTGCGACTGCAGCGAGTTGGCAATACGTCCCCATCCAGTCAGTGGTATCAGTCCCAGTCAGTCAGGGTCCAGACAGCAAGTACCGTGTGGGACTGTGTGCACCCAGGGCATGGGAAAGGGGCAGACCAACGAGCTATAGAAGTATAAAGCAAGAGGCAGCGACCAGTCATTCATTTTCATTCACTGCGTAAGCCATGCGGAAGCGCTGCTACAGCGTCTTGTGCAAGGGTGGTCTGCAGGTTGCCCGAAGACGAAGTGGGCTGAAGGGAGATCGTAGCCATAGTCAGTAGTGGTACTGCAGCGATA